TTAACAACTGTGGCAAGAAAGGTCATAAAATGGGGCAAAACTCACTTAGCAACTGTCTTGCTCAGCACCGGAAATTTTGAGCTCAATTTTGGTGGCAAGTTGAGGACTACCTGCAAAGGAATTTGAAACTAAGCCTCTCTAGTATTTTGTTTACCATGTTAATCCCTATACCGAGCTATGCAGGAGACATTTTTCCAATGAACCTGTACTGAAATAATGATAATTCAATGTAGATTACATCCAGGAAGACAGTGACAGGCATAGCTATCCTCAGCCCTGCACCATGTTTTTGTCAATGAAGTGAAGAATAGATGAGGAGACCAATTCAATTCCCCCCCCAGGATTCAAAAACTCACCTGAAGGCATCAATCAATCAATCAATCAATCAATCAATCAATCAATCAATCAAAGAATAAAAATCAAGGCCAGATAGTGCAAACCATGGCATTTTTATGCAGTCCAAGGCACATTCATTCCTTCTCCTGGAGTTCTTGCCTCAACAGCCCTCTGCTGCTCCTTCCAATTAACCAGGGACAAGGAAGCAACTTTGGGACAAGTGTCAGAGAGAGGGAAGGCAGAAACTCACCCGCAGCTCCCTGGGGCTTCGCTTTGGAAATTCCCTAAGCCCCAAAGATCTTGCGAGGCCCTCGCCCACTCCCGGGAACGGTCCCACTCGCCCCACTTCCCAGACCACGTCCACGCGAGAAGCAGCCCCAGCCTCAGGACCGAAGCCCAAGAGGCGGCGGCGGCGGCGGCAGCAGGCAAAGGGATGCTACCTCGAAAGCCTCACCTGGTCGATGTATTGCCGCACCCGCTTCCTCAGGCGCTCCAGATTCATGCCCTTTCCGTGCCCGCCCGCGGGAGGAACCGGGTGACCAGGCTGGCCCGTTCCCTGGAGCCCCCCACGGCGCTGCCGGACGCCTCGCAACTGCCGCTGTCTTCCCGACCCCGAGCGAGCCGCTTCCGAAACTTAAGACCCCGCCCCCTCCGCATTCAACGCGTTCCTCTCGCCATGGCTTCACGAGTCCGTTCGCAATGACGTCCCTCCCCAGGATGGCCCTGTGTGCCGTTCTCAATTGCACCCTTATGTCGCCGGAAACGCGGCCTCTGCGCTTGGCGTTCCGAGGATATCCGACCTACAGAGGATGAAGCGCCGAGGCTTTACTTAGGAATGTGGTAGTGTTGTTGTTATTATTATTAATAGTAGTAGTCGTCGTATTTAATCATTTAGAGAACGGGAAGAAATTGTAGGGAAGAGGCAGCAGTCTTTTTATTCCGAATTTGAACGACATAGGTGGGTTCGAGAGTTATTACTTTTTATCTATGTTAATGATTTATACATTAATGGTACTTGGTATTTTTTTTTTCTTATAGAAAAAGTAATTGAGAAAGGCAAAAATAGAAGTAACTCCTGTTTGTATTCAGTGTAACTTACTTCTTAATAGGTGGACATTACTAGGCAGGGTAAATCATCAGCAACCAATAAAGGAATTTCAACAATTACAGTACAAGTTAAGTATTAAATTTACACCACAGCTTTCAGATAGAAATACATAGGACTCCTTCCTCTGTTTTATTCCTGTAAAGTTGAGTTTGACTGCCCCAAGCCACTTAGTAAACGTCTGTGGCTGAGGATGGACTTGAATTTGGGTCGCACCAGACCAAGTCCAAAATCTTAACTGATACACTATGTCTCTTATCCACAGAATTACTGAATAATTGAAAGTGTTTTTCCTTCCAGTTTTCATATAAATTTAAGAAAGAAGTACAGTATGTGCAAATATAATGTTGATACTATTTAGATATGATCAGTTAGCATGGCCTAAAATAGGTAGAATTAAAGAAACCCTAAACAACCAATATGTAATAGAGGAATTCTATAGTAATATAATTCTAGAAAATACTGATGTGAAAGTTGGAAGTATTACTTTAATAGGAAGAATAGTACTAAAATGTGAAGTCAATCTATTTTCATGAAGGAGCCACATAGCCGCATGATGGTGCTATAACATGGCAAGAAATCATAAATCATTTCTAGGTAACATTTTTAGCTCAGAGAACTGCATGCATCATTCACTGGCAGCTCAGAGGCTGTAGATGAATATGCATGTTCTCCTTCCTCTCTGCCCCACCCCAAGCACAGTTTAGTCTCCCAAAGCCTCATGCATTTAATTACCCTCCTATATATGCCTTTTCCCCTGCTTGCTTTATTTTCCCATTCTCTCCCCTACAAATCATTCTGTCTCCCCAAAACTGAATGAGGTATTTTGAAGTGCATGTTAGTGAAGAGAGTTTCACTAAAGTGAGTGAGTTTGTAACTAAATCTATACTAACTGTATGTGCAACAATTTTTCCCCCTGAATATGGGCTTAGAGTGAACATAGAGTGTAGAACAGGACTAGTATTGTACTGTTGCCACAGACTACAAAAAGAATAATTTAAACCATTATGTTTATGTTTACTAATTAGCCATCATTTTAATAGCATTCCATATAGTTTAGGTTTCATTGATGTTTAAATTTGTCTTCCAATTTTTTTCCACCAGAAAAGCTCAAAGTAACCTAATGGAGAGATACAAATAATACCAGGTCATCCACGAATGCTTGTACTTTATATTGTTCTTTTTTATTATCAGACCTTTTATTTCTTGGTCTTTTCTGATCTGCCCCAGTAGCACTTCTAGAGAGTTAGTATAAATAGCAGAGGTGATAGAGGACAGCCTTGTCTTACACCTTTATTTATATTGAAATTTTCTGTTGTTTCTCCATTTATTATCACTTTTGTCATTTGGTTGGAGTATATTGTTTGGACCATCTTTACAAATTTCTCTCCAAAATTCATATTTTTAAATTGTAGTATCATAAACTGCCAATTCAAGTTATCAAACACTTTTTGTACGTCTAGGAAAATAAGTGCAAGTTTATTTATTTATTTATTTATTTATTTATTTATTTATTTATTTATTTATTAGTTTGATTTATATGCCGCCCTTCTCCGGAGACTCAGGGCGGCTTACAATGCTTTTAAGCAATAGCCTTCATACTTTTGTATATACCTGCTTAGTAGGCTTTTGGCCCCTCCTAAGCAGTGTTCTATTTTATACAAAGTCATCTTATAGCCCCCACAAACCGGGTCCTCATTTTACCTATCTCAGAAGGATGGAAGGCTGAGTCAACCTTGAGCCTGGTGAGAATTGAACTCGCAGTAATTGCAGGCAGCTGGCAGCTAAATACTACTTTAACAGTAGTTTAGTCCACTGCACCACCAGTTGTTTTTCAGGATGAGCTTTATAATATTCCAGGACATTCATAATAATTTTCATATTATTTTTCAACTGTCTTTTGGGTAAATACCATTCTGGTCCAGATGTATTAATTCATTTAAATGTCTTTTTAATCTTTCCGAGATTATGGCGGCAAATATTTTGTAGTCAACGTTTAATTGTGATATTGGCCTATAATTTTTTATCTGTTGGTGATCTGTGTCTTCTTTTGGAATTAATGTGATATATGCTTCTGACCAAGATTTAGGTAGTTTGGCCCCTAATAGTGCATCTTTATAGACCTCCAACAATAAAGGTTCTAGCAGTTCATGTATGATTTTTTTACAATTCTGCAGGGAGTCTGTCTGGACCAGGAGTTATATTGTTTTTTTTTGTTTCTTAAGTGCCTCGGTTATTTCCATTGCTGTTATTCTTTCATTTAGCATTGCTCTCATCATATCAATTATTTTGGTTAGACCAGCTTTTTCCAAATATTGTTTAGTGATGTCTTCTGGTATATTATCTTGGCTATACAAGTTCCTAAAAAAATCCTGAGTTATATTCTTTTTATCTTTATTCTGATGGTGAAGGATTTCCTTCTCATCCTTCAATTGGTGTATTTTTCTCTTCTCTTTTTCCTTTTTTAGCTTACATGCTAACCATCTTCTGGTGGTGACGTCACGACGGAGCGGAGCAGAGAAACAGGGCTCCGTTTTCCTTGTCTGATTTTTCCTGCCTGGAGACCCTAAAAGGGCAGCGCTAACTTCAGAAGGGTGGACAAGACAGAGGGAAAGCCCTAAACACGGCATGGAGAAGGGTGATCTCCCGCTAGATTAAAGGGAAAGCTCCTCAATATCAGCAGGAGAAAAACCAGCCAATATGGCAGATCCGGAGTCATGACAGCCAGGCGAAAATCAGGAAGATAAAATTAAGAAGCAACACAATCATACTGGTGAGGATCTATACTTCTAATGCTTTGCAGAAGATTTATTTTGGCTTAAAATAGAAGTAGTGAAAGTGGGACTCCAAAATATTGGAGCAAGTTTGCTGCCCAAGAGAACAGCGGCGATCAAGATCACTTTTTGATAGCTTTTGACAGATTTGGAGAAGAATATAGGAGACCTATCAAAATAGAGAAGGGGAAGCCCAGACTAACTTTTAAGAAATATATATATATATACCTTTACTTCTCGTTTGTTCGGATCATGACTGAGTGTAAAACTTTGGAAAGAGTCCCTATAAGTAGTACTAAAAAAGAAGAAGAGCGCCATCTAGGGATAAGAAGATTGGTCAGAGGAAAGTGACTGATACAATACTTATAAGAGCTAAAGAAAGGGTATCTGTGATATTTTGATATTTTGTCATTTTGTGGACATTAATGAGGAAGAAGAGAACTCTTGGATAAATTATAAATCTCATAGATATCTAGATATTCTTTTGGAATTTGTGGTGATTTGGGGCTCCTATGGATTATAAACTTTACTAACTCTAGGATTACCAAAAGAACTATAATAAGGGGACAAACACATTGTGGACTGTGAACTGGATCATTAAAGAAAGAAGAAGAAGATTGACATATATATATATAATTGAAGATGTTTGAATAACTTATAGATTGGATAAAACATTAACTTCTAGTAATTATAAAATATTAAGTGGCAATTGTTTATAGATACTGCTTATTCCATATGTGATTATATTATATTATATTATATTTATATTAGATCTATACTATATTATATATATTATACTATATTCATATACTTATATACATATATATATAAGCTGATGAAGGGAGGAGAACTTGTGGTTCAGAGGTTAATACAACTGCCTAACATGCAGGCAGCCCAAGTTCGAATCCAAGTAAGGGTATGGCTAGTTGATGAGCGCTAAATAGCTTGCAATAGATCTATGCTAGTCTCCCTTTATTTCTTTATCAACGAAATATAAATTTGATACATATATACTTATAATTTATACCTATATTGTCATAATATTACTATAGAATAATATAATAATGAGGTGTGGAAGAGTTATACTAGGGGAAGTGGGGAAACCCAGAAGGGAAGTATTAATTATTGTATGTTATTTTGGAAAAATACTCTTCGATTTTTGAAGATGACAAGTACTTCAACTATCATAAAAATAGGAAAGAAAGCATCATCAACTCCAACATCTGCAACATCATCCCCATTGAGTCAGCGGTCAATAGAAAGCATGTTAGGCGTGGAGAAATCAAGTTCCAGGCAGAACATGCAGGCAATGTTGCTTACGATACAAGAAATTATGACAAAAACCCAGGAATCTATATCGAGAAACCATGAGGAGATTAAAAGTGAGATGGGAGAAATGAAAAGAGACCGAAAGACATCCGAAAGATGAATGACAAAATAGAGAACATCCAACAAACAATGACCAAGAAAGAACAAAGAATACAAAATGTAGAAATAAGAGCTGAACAAACAGAAAAGAAAATGGAAGCAATGGAACAAAAGCTAACTCTGGCCAATAGGAACTTAGAAGAGACAATAGTCTTTCTAGAAATGGAAAAGGCAGCTTTCTTTCTGAGGTTCCGGAATATAGTAGAGGATAAAGAGGAAGACCTGGTTAAGGTTATGACAGATCTGCTGGCGACTATACTACAGAAAAACAAGCATGACATACAAGGAGACATTGACGAGGTTTTTAGAATCCAAACTAACTACACAAGAAGACACAAATTACCAAGAGAAGTGTACATGAGGTTCACTAAAAAGACAATAAGAGACGAAGTATATAAAAGAACGAGGGATGAAGCCATGATGTACAAAGGGAGAGAAATCCAAATTTTAAAACAGATACCTAGGAGAGTCAGAGAACAGAGGAGACAATATCAATTCTTGTCCACACAGTTGATCAAATACAACGTGACGTTTAGATGGTTGATTCCGGAAGGAATGCTGATCTCATGGCAGGAAAAGAAATTTAGGATCAATACACTTGACAAAGGACACGAATTCTTTGAACATTATTTCACAACAGATGAAGACCCGGAGAGTAGGGAGGAAGTAGGAAGAAGTGCCAAGAAGAACATTACCCAGAAGAAAAAGATGTAGAGCGAGAGGAAAGTTCATGTTAATTCTTAATATGGTTTGGTTTAGGATTATTCTCTTATGTGAATCAGAACTAGATTAGTGTCTTATGTGAACAAGGCTATTTTAGTATCCTTGTTGTATAGCAACCTGCCTGCACGTGCTCCTTGATTCCATAAACGAATTGGTGATGGAGTTTTGTAGGCTTATGGTTCTCGAGGACTTCAATCTGACTTCCATGGAAGTGAGGTAAGAGACAGTTCAGAAATTCATGGCTACCATGACAGGCATTGGCCTGTTCCAGTTCATCCAGGGTCCAACAAGCATCAGTGATTTAATGCCAGGTCTGATTTTACTGTCAGAACAGGGGCAATGTGATTTGGAGCTGGTGAAGGTATCTGTTGCTTCCCTGTGATGGTCAGATCTCTTTCTGTGGAATATCATACCTCCAGGGGTTAGATTGGCCCAGACTCTACCTGCCTTCTTCAAGGCTTTAAAAGCTTGACTGTGCCACAGGTTACAATTTCCTAACCCTAACCCTGTCCCTCTCATTCTGATAAACACACCTTCTCCAGCAAAGATAGTCTCTGGCCTGGTTTACTGTGGACTCAATCCTCACCTTATTCATCTTCAGTGCAGAAAGCCATTGCTGAGGCTAAGGAGAAAGTATTTGATTTAGATTTACAAAAAACAGATTTAAACTGTATATCACCATTTGGCAGTATATCTTATACCATCTCTTAAATATTTTTGTAGTAGTTTTCCTGCTCTTTGTAGAAGGGCCTTCACACTAGAAAGGCATTCTATCCTATTCTCAATGGTCATGGAAGGGAATTTTAATTATATCCCTTACCAGGGGCATGTATATCTGTGTGCTTAGAAATAGACAGTTGCACATGTTTTACTGAGTTGTCTTTTATACCATGCCTGGTGTGCAGAGCTGAATTTTTTTCCATATTAGCAAATGCTTGGGCTGATCCTAATCAGAGACTTTAAGGTTGTTGTTTTTTTAATTAAAGGATTCAACTAGTGAAATTTCTGGGAAAAGGTTAAAAAAATTGTGCCATCCCATTTGTTAAGCAAAGGCATTGAGTCTAAGCAAGGCACAGACAAAAATGAAATCTAGTAGTTTATAAAGTTTGCCTTTTATGATATTTGTCCATGTTAAATTGATTTCAGGTACATCATTCTAATTTCTATCTAAAGATAAATCTATGACTGCAAACAAGCAATCACCTACTCCCACACAGAAGGCATTTGGAAAGTAAAGTATGCTTTTTTAAAACAAACAATCAGCTTATTACAGAAAGTCTATTTTAATGATGACTGAAGTATTGGAGAGTTTACTTATGTAGCTTTCTGCATTACATTTCAACTTTGATTTTTTTTTTGAGGGGGGGTGACATAAAACCCTTGTTGGAATTTCTGCTTCTGTATATTTTGGATCTTCTCAGACCAGGAGCCTACTGTCAGAATTGTAAATCTATTCATGTGTGTTTTCCTTAAGTGAGGGAAATGACACATGATCCATCGAATGCTCTTTAATCTCATTTAAGAACCCAACACTGCTGATCAAAGCATGTTTATTCAGGAAGAAGGATTACAGTTTGCCAACTGTCATTTCATTTTATGATGTGTTTGTAATTTACTTGTTCTTTGTTCCTTAATATAAGGTACTTCAACACTCTTATTTGTTGAGCTATAAATAGGCCTCAGCCTATGGTTCCATTTCCTAGGCAATGATCAAATATATTTACATACAAAAGTAATGAAGAATTCACATTGCCAAATGTTTACAATGTGCACTGATAAAAGGAACACACACTATTGCAATTATATACTGTTTGTGTTGCACAAATCAGACAAGGAATGTGCTAAAACTTCTGAAATGGGTTCAGAGGAATGGGATCAATACATTGATGTATATTTTTTGATACCTACTTGAATGTGGTAAAAGAATCCAGTGTTAATGTTAATTGTTGATGCAGATCCTAAAAACCACAAGTGTTTAAATTTTCATATTATAGCATGATGATTTTACCACTATGTGGAGTAGATTCAGAATTATTTATAGAGTTGAAATTACTCTCTGCTTTGTAATTAAATCTGCATCCATTTTATTTAACCAGATAAATACTTCATATACAGTATGTTTAACTGCATACAATATGTATTTAATCCTCTGAGGCCAGCTAGATGGCAGTGGTGATATTGAAAAGGTGAAGTTAATATTAAAATAAGAAACCCTCTGGGAATTCCAGGTCTATACATTAAAATTCTATATTATCAAGAAAACTACATAAATGTATCTATGAAGTCACCAAGTTTAGTTTTTTAAATTCATATTTCACACAAGTAAAACATTGGATTGCATTGCGAGTAGCACAGAAAATGGCACATTTCTGAATCTCACAGTTCTGACAGTATAATTCAGAATACTTTTAAAGGAAGGCCACTAGAAGATGTGAAAAAATATGACAAGCATCAAAATTGTTTTATTAATGAGCTATTGCTTATTTAATATATTAGCATACTAAGAGTATAATTCACATAAGAGATTTCTGTTATTAACACACGTTAGCACAGCCTTCAATATCTGTCCAGTCAGTCAGCCAGCCAGCCAGTTGTAGTTTTTATTAATACTGTTTTACATTTGTTTTAGAAAAGAAGATTCTGGCTATCACATAATATTCAGCCTTCAGTAGTGCTCTTGTAAATTAATTATCATTAATGTAAATGACTTAGGCTGACCAGCCTAATTAGCTTGCTAATATGTTCATACTTAATAACTGGTGTGAACATTATTCACCTACGAGACATATTTAATATTTATAACTATAGTAATTTCCCAGTAATTATATCCATACATCAAGAATTCAAGCGTGTAACGTTCATTGTCTGGACTGCCAAAGTAAGAATTGAAATTAAGCCTTTTCTATTGGATTTTCACCTTGATGATCCTCAGTCACTTCTTTGTCTTCTTGGTGGATTAGTTCTACTCCTTGTTCTTGCTTATCTGTCAGATGTTCAATTTTCAGTTTGTTACCTTTCAGTCTTTTTTTTATACATTTTCTTATGTTGTCCCTGTGTGATTATAAATGATAAATGATTAGTAGATAAATTAGTAGTTAAAAATAGCTTCATTTTCTTAAAACAAAAAGGTGGATTTTCAACTATCTTTGAAAATTTTACAAAAGTTAACTACTCGATTATTTTAAATCAATTAACTTGATTATTTAAATACAAATTCTATTACAACTATAACAGCTGCAAGATTTGACAACATTGGTCCTTTTCTGGTTGCTTTTCTGGTTGTTGAGACCTTGTCCCAATGCTGTTTAATTTATTTTAATTGAACTACAATTCAACTGAATGTATTGGTATTCACAGGTTTGGGAATTACTTACATTATTTCTGTTTTCTTGCAAAAGTTTCAGACCCTTGACTCAGGAATGTGTACTTTAGAAATGTTTTGAGATTTGGGATTAATGTAAAGCAGAGAAAGCATTGCAACTTCACATTTATTCCCTTCAAGGTATTTGTTGCATGAAGATAAAAGTCTGAAAACCCTTTTGAAGGAAAGTGCCTTCCCATGCTTCTAACATCTAAGAGTTGCTTTTGTTGATCTTTAAAGCAGACCAGGATTTTAGGTATTACTTGGGTACATAAAATCTGACCTTAGAGGGATGGGAAAAGTAAGTGGATTGCATAATTTCAGTGCTACTGGTATGTTATTTTGGACAGAAAAAAAAGACAAATAATATTTTATATAAAAATATTGATTAATTTTCTATTCTAAAACTTGGGTCCCATACTCTTAAACTTAGTGAAATGTATATATGTGCAAATTTTTATGTATGGAGCTTCACATGACCAGTCAGTGGATTCATTCCAAATCTTGACACCATGCCCATCAGTTTGAACTGATTTTATTTTGTTCCCTTAATGAGCGTCTCAAAAGGGTCAATCATTACCTATGAATTACCAAAAATAATACTGTGAAGCAACAATTATTTTCATAGGCATACAATGCAAAATTTGGCCAATACAAGGATTGCTTGTTCATTGGTCCTATGTAACTGAAATGTCTTCCCTTTTTTTTCTCATTTGATACTTTACTTCTTTTCTCCTATGGGTGTTTTTTCCCCCGCTTTAGAAATCATCCATCCTATCCTCTCCTCTAGCAGGAATGTCTACCTCATTTTCATTTCATTCCCCACAAAGTTTACACTTTGCCAGCATCTAATGAGAAAAAGAAAAAAAAACAAAACAAAACCTTTGCTAGACCAATTCTCGAATACAGCTCATCTGTCTGGAACCCGCACTGCATATCAGATATTAATACAATTGAGCGAGTCCAGAGATATTTCACGAGAAGAGTACTCCACTCCTCTGCTCACAACAGAATATCTTATGCCACCAGGCTTGAAATTTTGGGCTTAGACAACTTAGAATTATGCCGCCTTCGGGCTGAACTAAACGTAGTACACAAAATTATCTGCTACAACATCCTACTTGTTAATGACTACTTCAGCTTCAACCGCAACAATACACGAGCACACAATAGAAATAAACTTAAAGTAAACCGCTCCAAACTCAATTGCAGAAAATATGACTTCAGTAACAGAGTAGTCAATGTCTGGAATACACTACCTGACTCTGTGGTTACTTCCCCATAACTTTAACCTTAGACTGTCTACTGTTGACCTCACCCCATTCCTAAGAAGTCTGTAAGGGGTGTGCATAAGCGCACCAACATGCCTACCGTCCCTGTCCTACTGTCCCCATTTATTTGTATCCTTATCCTGTATTCATAATCATGTTTATACTTATATCCGTTATCTTATGTGTTTGACTAAATAAATAAATAAACATAAAAAGATCCTTTACAGATTGTAGAAAGGAAAAGATGGAGAAGATGTGCAGCCTTAACGATCAAGCAGTTGGAAGAACCATTTGGCAGTTGAAGGGCAAGGGAGGCCCCAGGAAGGCCTGATTCTAGTCTGATGGGGCAGAATCAAGAACATGCATGTTGCCTTGATCTTTGGAGGAAGATACAAACTTAAAAAATAAGAATCTGTTAGAGTTTGCAGCAATCCAACCAGCACACAAGTAAATAATTCTGCAGTACTCATTTATATAAGAAACTTCTTTATGTATAATACCATACAGCAGAAGCCAGAACCAGAACTCAGAATCCAGAAGTACAGAATCAATAATCACAGAAGCAATAATGCAAGGACAAACCAACTCTTTTATACATAACAAGTCAAGCTAAGCCACACCCAGGCTCCAAACTGAGTCACCAAACATTGGCTGACCTGTTGTCATGTCTATTCCAATTCATGACCTTTTATTCACTGACAGAATCTACAAATGAGACAAATGTTTGCCTATGTAAAATACAGTATGTGTCTGTGTGTATATATGAAAGTAAGCATCTGATGGGTAACTGCCACATTTTTCTTCTTATTAATATAAAATAAGAGGTAGTTGAAATATTCACTTTCACAGTTGGTCTATCAATGCTGCAGGCAGGAAAAAGTAATCCAGGATTCCTTGGATCCCACAGCACAGAGATGATTGGTGATTTCCTCCAGATCCAAACATCCCATTTTTCAGAGATTAAGGGCCTCCCCAAGAAATCCATTCCAAACCCAAATCCATTCCTGGTTGTATCCTTGTACATTGAATTCTCTTAGCTAATTTTTTCATGATACCATTACATTGATATTTAATAGTAATTAAATAAACCAAAATAGAGTCACAGATTAAATTCATTTAATCTTCATGTTAGCAGCTTTTTATATCCCATTTATTCATACTTTAATATATGTTTCCTAGCATCTTTTAAATCCATCTTTTATAAACAAAGTGAGTTGCCAATAGAATTCACTAAACTACCTGAACTGAGCACGGGTTTAGTAAATGTTATTCGAGTTGTTAATAGCAGATATTGAAATTTAATAAATAAATAATATATAAGATAGGATATTTCAGTTCTATTATGGCTTTGACACCCCTCGGTTTTCCACACTTACTGGAACAACTGGAATTTTCCAGCTTTTCATTAGCACAAGTTTTTTCTGCCTTAAAAATTGCAAGAGGTACAGCTTAGCAACAGAAGGCCTAGAGATACATACAGACCAGCAGAAATGTGTGGTATGTATATAATTAGCAGCAGCAATTACCTTTTGAATCTGCAACTCACACAGGCTTTGAGGATATCTTGTAATACTGCTCATGTAGTTTTTAGTCTTTCGCCAATCTTCACTCCATTTCTGGATACTGTACCGAGATTTACACTTTGCAATTCTTTCCAGTATGGCACAATTTTCTTGGTTTATTCTGAATAATTCTTGCTCTCGTTTTTCTCTGTTTAAACTAAAAGCGGGGGGGGGGGAGAGCTCTGTGCAATAAATTAATCATTCAGGCATTAAAAGTGAAATGCATTCTGTCCCATCTTCGAAATGGCAAATGAAAATAAGTTCTTCTTACTGCTCTAATTAAATTGAAATTAAACTGAAATCATGGCTCTTTTCTGTTACTGTCATATGGCTGTAGCTCATGCTACTGGTTTTCTTCCACTATGACTGTGGATGATGGAAGTTCTAATGTAAAACATCTAAAATACTGCAAATTGGCAAGGACTGAAAAGCGCTCCCCCCCCTCCCCAATATTAAATATTAA